ACATTTCCCCTTCATTTTTGGAGGGGAAAAAGTGCGTCCTATGGAGCGAAAAATACGGTAGTTCCGGTTGCAAGTACTTTCATGTTACGAGTTGTGCCAGGAGGGAGATGCACATCCACATGAAAGAAATACAGTGCAAATGAATAACATCAACATCTGGACCAGATTTGTGACCAAAATTCCTTATCCAACAAATGGTATGTATGCAGAAGTCTGTGGATCTACTTATCTGGATTGGTGTGAAAATGTTTCAATGCATCTGTCTTACTGCCTGAGCTTTACTAAAACACCCAGTTCTTTCTCACAACTTGTACATCTGGCTTCCCCTACCTAAATGCAGAAGTTTATATTTATCTCTGTTGAAATTCATTTTGCTAGTTTAGTCCCAGTTCTCCATCATGGAGAAATAATCTTGGATCTTATTTCTGTCTTCCAAGTATGTTTGTTTGTTTATTGAATTTGTGTTCTGCGGTTCTCAGGGTGGTTCACAACATAATTTGTTAGCTGCCCTGAATACTTGAAGAGCATACATTCTACTACTTCATCCAAGTAATTTATAAAGATGTTAACCAACACTAGGCCCTGGACAGCATCCTGCAGAACCCCACTTGTCACTTATTTCTAGATTGACCAGGAACTACTGAAATGCACTATTTGGATACGGTCTATTAATCAGCTACAAATCCACCTAATGGCACCATCATCTAGCCCTATTTTACCAGCTTGCCAACAAGGATACTGAGGAGCCTTTGTCAAAGCTTTTATACAATGTCTACAGCACTCCCATAGCCTACAAGACTAGTAACTCTTATCAAAAAAGGAGGTAAGGTTATTCTGGCACGGCTGACTTAAGAAACCCATGCTGGCTCTCTGTGATAGTGAATATGACACAGACAGATCACTGGTTTTCACAGAATGCTACGTACCACTACATATTCTGTAGCTAAGAAAAGCTTGGTTTGGCTGCAATCCTAAACACACTTACTAGAGAGTAAGTCTCACCAAGCACAATCTGCAAAGGCTTGCACTGAATATATAGAGTAAAATCAATGGAGAGCCACTCCTATGGTCTGGTATATTTCCCTAAGTCAACCTCTGCATCCATTTACAGCTCCTTCCACCCCCTGTCTCTGAATAGAAGAGCCTAGAATCTGGATAATGTAATCAGCTTCCAGAAGAGACTGCCATGAACACTTCTAAGTATCCCTAATACATTGTACCTTTTGTGAATTGTAAATGTAAACCACTATGGGAGTTAACCTTGGCCACAAAACAGATTATAAAAATATTTATTTTTTCATCCAAACTCTCTGCAGTGCTCCTACCTACAAACCCAATATACTTTCCTGTGAATTCCTGGTTTTCCTCTTGATGCTATTAAACAAGTTAATTACACACATCAAGACTTCACAGTTTGGTTTATTTTGTTCTAAAATCTTTGGAGAATAAACCAATGTATATTTGAATAAGACAGTTCAGTTCAGATAATTGGAGCCAGCAGATATATTGCTGCTTCTTTAGTAATGCATTTTATCAAGGGCTTTCTGGAACTTTAAAACAGTTGTAGACTACAAATTGGGTTGGGAAACATACAGTACAATCCTATACGTGACAACTCAGAAGCAAGTTCCATTGATTTAAATAGGCCTTAGTCCCATGTAAATTGGTATAATCTTTAAAATATCCTCAACAATATATGGTTCAGAACACTATCTAAATAGGCCTCAGTAATTCCAGCACAATATTGGTCTAGCTTTGATTAACACGGCAAACCTATGTGTCTAAGCCAGGCTTCCTCAACCTTGGCCCTCCAGATGTTTTTGGCCTACAACTCCCATGATCCCTAGCTAGCAGGACCAGTGGTCAGGGATGATGGGAATTGTAGCCTCAAAACATCTGGAGGGCTGAGGTTTAAGCAGAACTACTGCAGCCTGCAGGTAGGAGCTCACTCAATTGGATACACCTCCCAACACACACAAAATTATCCACCTATAAAGCTAGATTCCGTGGAGAAGGTATCAAGCTTAGTCTCCCCCTGGTTTTCCATTTGCAGGTGTTTTTCTAATGGAGCACTGAGACAGCTGAGTCCCACCTGCAGTGTGAAGCAGCACAGCAGGGATACACTGTGAATTAGGCCATTATCTTATGCAACTTCCTGGAAGATCAGTGTTCTGTTTACTCATAGGAGGGTGATAAAGTTAGGTAGAATGGATGTTTATTTTACTCAACAACTCCCACCTCCCCCACTGCTTGACATAATCCAGCCAGCTCAGATTTCAGAGCCAGTGGAACTGCTTCAAGACTCTGCAAGATGGTTCAGCCCATGCTGGCAATGGACAATCCACACAACTGACAGGGACCATTGCAAGATCAAAACAAACTGTGAAATTCACAGTGAATGCACATGGGGTGAGTGCAAGAATATTATTGTCCCCAAGGAGAAGACACTGCTCATATTTCCAGTCTAGCTGAGAGCGCAGGAAGTGGCTATGTTGGGCATAACCCTAGTTCTAGATTTCTACAATATGCTTTTGGTTCAAGTTTAACTAACAAAAGCTGGAACAATTGAACAGAGAAACCAGTTCCTTATCATGATCTAGTTACATCAAGATTTGTCTTTTGCCTCCTGGCAACATGCAATACCATGAATCAGGATTCACTTTGAAATTTAAAAAACCACTTCTTTTTAAAACTGCAGAACAAGCCAGCAACTTTTTTTAGTGCATGTGAGTTTGAGGCACAAGGATGTTAACCCTATCATTGTCCCTTGCTTACAATACACCTGCCATCTTTTTTTATCTCCATGTAGAGCTGCTGATCCCCATACCCCATCACAACAATGTACGCTAACAAGGTAGGTTATGAGGGGTAATCCAACACACACTCCACACAAAGGGGGAGCTCTTTGTGAGAAGAGAATGTAAACAACAGAGTTAGAAGAGGTCACAGGCAAGACCTTAGATGCAGACATGAAACATGGCAAGACAAAAGCACTAGCTGTAGAGATTGGTTCAACTTAGCATGCATTCATAACTGCAGTGAGTGTTTAAAGTACAAAGTAAAAAATAGGTAAAGGACCCCTGGATTGTTAAGTCCAGTCAAAGGCGACTATGGGGTGTGGCGTTCATCTTGCTTCAGGCTAAGGGAGCAGGTGTTTGTCCACAGCTTTCTGGGTCATGTGGCCAGCAGGACTATACCGCTTCTGGTGCAACGGGACACTGATGGAAGCTAGAGTGCACAGAAATGCTGTTCACCTTTCCGCTGCCGCAGTACCTCTTTATCTACTTGCACTGGTGCACTTTTGAACTGCTAGGTTGGCAGAAGCTGGGACAGAGCAACGGGAGCTCACCCTGTTGTGTGGATTTGAACTGTGTTTGAAGTACACCATGGTCATGGTATTGCTTTCCTTACAACAGCAAATTCTTTCCCACCCCACTGCATATATGGGGGCTGTGAGAATCATAGAATTGTGGAATTGGAAGGGATCCTGACAGTCATCTAGTCCAACCCCCTGCTATTCAGGAACGCTACCCACAGCCATCCCTGGGTGAGCTCTAACCACCAACCTCTTGGTTAACAGCCAGATCCATTGACCCACTGCCCCTCTGGAGGTTGGCGGGGGGGGGGGCAGGTAAGCGCCACGTTATAACCTATCTCTGGGTTCGGTTCGGTTTTGCCTGTCTGTCCGACTGTAAGTCGCTCTGGGCTGCCCTGGGCAAAGCAACTCGCCCATGGCATTAAGTAGTGATGGCTGTGATAATGCCGACCTCCCACGGCAGGGAGGGGACCCGGGGCATCCCGGCTTCGTGCCCTCCAGCGCCGCTGAGCGGGGCGACCGGGACCCTTCTCCGCCCGCCCCACTCACCCATCAGCGCCCTGAGGTGCTTGAGGCGCGTCAGGACGTCCTTCCGCGGGTCCAGCGCTTTCTGGGTGGACTTCTTGACATCGGCGTGGCCCCTCCGAGAGAACATCGCCGGGCAGTTGGGGGGGGCGTCGCCCTCGCCGTCAGCGCGGCAGCCGGGAGACAGACCCACGGGCGCCGCGCCGCCTCCACGGCCAGGGAGCGAAGGGCGGGCGGGCGGGCGCGCAGGCGGCGGCGCTCCTGAGGGAAGTGGGCGGGGCCTGGCCCGGACTGCCGCCAGCCTCGGAAGCACCGCCGCGGAGGTCCTTCGGTGGTTCTCTTTCGCGGGCGCGTGTCTTGGTTGCCTCTTCTCCGGGGCGGGCGGGGGGGGGGGGCGGACCAATGCCTGCCTCGCTTTCTCTTCATCCGACGGCGCGGCGCGCGCGCGCCTCCGAACAGCCCAGCCCAGGAGCGGCGGCGCAAAGGGCGGCCACCTTTGGAAGCTTGGCTGGCGCGGGGCATGCTGGGAGTCGTAGTCTTTGCGGAGGAGGCTCTTCCTCGCGCGCTTTTGTCTCGCGGCGCGGAAGCAGTTTCCGTCCTCGCAACCCTGCAGGCGACATCTTTGATAAAAAATTATATGGAACACCCTTCCTTAATTATTGTACTGTTAATAGCTTGAGGCGCTTTTTAAATGCTAACCTTTAAAAGTTTTTACCTATATTTATTGTTAGTTTATTCAATCTGTAGACCTAAAACTGCGGTTTGCTGGCTCTGTGCACTTTTGATTAACACAGTATATTGATTTACTTGGGAAACGAGTCTTGCAACTGTACTGTGGAAATAAAATGCGCCGTGTTACGAAGTCCTGAACGTGCTTCTGAGAAGGGAAGCCCCACTGAAACCTGTGACTTGTAGAGTAGCTTTCAGCTAAATTGAGCAAGGAACCATCTTATTTATTATCATTTATTATATTTGTATACTGCCCTTCATCCAAAGATCCCAGGGCAGTTCACAACAGAAAAATACAAAATGAGAATACAAATACATAATAAAACAAAAAACAAAGCAATAACCCCCTTCCCACAAACATTTAAAAAGCTATAGAGTGTTAATTAGCAAATCGCCTGGTTGAAGAGAAACGTTTTTGCCTTCAGATACTCTTTGGCAAATCATGCTGCAGGACCTTATGAGATGGTGTCTGACTACTGTGAATTCAATGGTCTTTGAATGTCATGTTTTTCAAATGGTATCAGGGATTTCGTAGAAGCCAAAGAGGTAAATAATGGGAAAATGACTGAAAGGCAAATTCTCACACATCGTGTTACTGATCTTCCTTTGCAGTCTGGAGCTGCATGGGAGTATTGGCTGTAATCTAGGTCTCCTCACTTCCAGAAGGGTAGCAGGCCCATGTGAACAGACCAGGGTCCAAGGCGAGCTGAACATTTCCCAGAATGGGCTTCCATGGCAGGTGTGCAAGGCTTCCCTGGGAGTAGAATTTGTGCGCAAGGGGATCCCTGTATGATGACAATTCCAAATCATTTATTTACTGTGAGATGTGCATGCCTTCTATCAGATATTGTGTAGGCCCACAATTTGTTTTCAGTGCACAGCTTTTGAAATACAGTTATTTAAATAGGCCTAGTGCTGTGGGGTGGGGGCAGTGGAGACTGAGACTGAGAGGAAAGGCCTGGACCTTAAGAAGAAGTGGACAGGAATAAGAGAAAGGCCCTCGGGGTGAAGGAAAGTGGGTTGTACCAACAGGCAAACTTGAGCTTTGAAACACCAGGACGCCCATCGCGTGATGAGGGTGCTCCCCTCCCCCAGACCACCTCAGTGGGCTGAAGTTCATCTGACATTGGCTATAGGGCTGGGGTTGTGCCTTCTGGAGTTTTCCTATTGCCAAAGAGGGGAATATAGCTAAATACAGAACAAATGCATGTTTGCAGTTTGCCAACAAGCAAGCAAGCAGTGAAGGAATTGGGTGGCCTTCTGCAGGAAGCCATTCCACACTTTGTGGATGAAACTGTTCTCTCTCTTGTGGCCCCTGCAACACTTCTGGTGTCACTGGGTCACAAAGCAGGGCCTCAGTTGTGAACTGAAAGACCAAGCTAGAAAAGATTTGGGGAGATATGTGGCTTGTTCTGCTTTGCTGATGTTTTTAAGTCAAAGGGGGCTGATTTGTTTCTTGGCTGCAGCACTACATTGTCCTTTTCGTGGTAGAAATCATGTTGAGGGCCAGGTTAACCCCTCCCCCTCAAAACCCCCCAGTCCCAGTCCATATGGGGCCCCTTTGAAGCTGCTTTTAGTGCTGGAAGAAACTGAAGAAATCTAGTGATGAATCTCCTAGTACTGATCATATAGCATGCATTGTTTTAATATCTATGTTTTTGGATCAGAATGATTTAGAAAAGAGTCTTGAATATAATGTTTTCCCTTTCATGACAGTTGCATTTATGATACACATACTGCAGTGTCTGTCCATAAACATCCCATCTTGGAAAGTTATTTAGAAGCCTCAGCTGAATCCGCCCAGTTCAACAAAAGGTCACCTGTTGAATGTCACAGCCACTAACATTTGTATTTTCTGACTAAGTGCACACTGTCTGTCCAAGGCCCAGCAAAAGGGGGAAACAGCTTTTCACAAAACAAAAACAAAATTCACCTGTTGTTCTTGTATAACTGGAAATTCAAGCAGAACAAAAGAGACTGAGCCACTGTTGTTCCTGGTGTACCATCTCCGCTTTTCTTTATTTTTATTCTACTTTAACCAGTTTATAACCAGTTTTTCAGGTGAGATTTTCAAAGACGTGTGCAAAGAAATATTTCCAAATACAGCATAAAATCATAAAACCAAAGCAACTATTGCAGGGAGGAAAGTTAAAACGGAAAAGTTCTGAATTCAGAGCAGCAACTAAAAATAAAAGCCTGCTGAAAACAAAACAAAAAAAATCTTAACTATCTAGTTGTACCCTGTGCAGGCCATGTATATGGGTGTGAACTTTCTTTCAGATAACCAAATGCCAAAGTGTTTGGGGATTTAAACTGAGCCCAGAAACGGTTAGGTGCCTATGAAAAGGAAACCAGATTGTTATTAATAGTATATTTAATAGAGTGGCCTGTTTAGCAATGGTTGCTTTATTAATACAATGCAGTTTTGACAAGAAAAAGAGGTTTTATTCACCAAAACATCAGTTTGTTGCTGTTTTATCGGCTGCTGATATTAGGGTTTGACTATGTCTAGTGCTCTTTTACTGTTTGCTCTAAATGCCCTGTTGTTTTATTTTGTTGTTCAATTGTTTTATGTTATCTTTTACACTTTTACTCCAACCCATCCCATCCCACCATGTTATTTGATCAAATTATCCAAGTATGTTTGCCTTTTTATTTCTAAACTAGCCTGAAAACTAAACAACACCTGGCAGAGAGATGGTTCCAGAGCTTGTTTAGCAGTGGCTACCCACATCATATTTGCTGAGACCACCAAAAGATTCCCAGTGCCAAAGTTTAAGGAACAGAATCAGGCACTGAAAATAGTTTTGGCAGTCCCACTGTCTGTCAGCAGGTGGGCCCTACTGAACAGGTTTTTCTGATGGTGGCAGCTACTGTAAGCTCTGGAACCAGCTCCTTGCTGCAGTTAAGATATCATCCATCTATTTGGCTGCCTTTGAAATCAGGTATTGTTTGGCCTTCTTCTGTTTTGGCAAAACGACAAAAGGATGGGAGTATTCTTCAAGTGTATCTTATCCAGCAGTTTCTCCCATCTCCTACTGATGTTTTACATGAAGTGTGGAACACGGTTTGTCCCATTCCTGTGAGCCCTATTCCTGTGGGCTCTTTGGGTTTAGCTTCCTCAGTAATTATGCTAATAAGCCACATTCTGCCACTTAATACTTGGATCTGCAACTTGGATTTTTCTACTTCAAATTAACTTAAAAATCAGCAAGAGTGAACAGAATTGGTCATATGGAGATAAACATTAAAAGAACACATTTTACTTTGATTTGCTATCTACTGCATATATGATTATATTTGCATATGAGTCCCTGTTAGGGAAAAAGGGTATAAATAAAAATATGAAAACAACAACAACACCTCTGGTTCTACCAGATGTGACCAACATACAAGCTTTGGGTAACTACAATTATCTTCTGTGGAAGCAGTAAGTAAAATGACTATGCTAGAAAGATGACTTTCTGACAGATACTGGAAGAAGGTAGTTTTTTCTGAAAAGCATTGAGTTGCAAAGGTTTGCAGGCAGATAGCTGTGGCAGAACTGACAACCTTTTTTTGGTGTAACAACCCAGGAATCTTGAGCAAAAAAGTGTGAATGGTCTGTCAGGACACTGAACTCTTCTCTTAACAGTGATCCTGGGAACATATCATAGATGCTCAATGGTATCTGAATACTTGTTTCATGATGGTCCATGTAAATTCAAGTATGTAGTTCGTGATATGACACATGGCTGTTTTTATGTCAGATTTCACATCGAGGGGTAGGAAGAGGTCCTGTTATTTGTTTGGCATTGCCCAGTTCAAAACAGGGGACACTTAAATCAAGAACCCCCTCGTGTGATTTATGAGGTGACACAGTCACATGAGAGGAGTATATTATGCCAGAAGCTTCTTGTTTGAAGTTACTTAAGTTGTAATTTAAACAAGTGATACAGAGTATTGCCTGGAACTGTTGAAAATGAACTGGAGAGCTGACATGGCAAATAAATGCATGTCCCATTTCTTGTGAAGCTCAGTGCAAATGTACTTTAGCACTACCTAAACCCTGAGTCTTACCTCAGCATTAATGCAGCATCAATAGTTTGGACTTTAATACCAATAAGTATTGCCACTGCAGAAAGACAATTTAGCATCCTTTGAAGGGTAAACTCTTGGGTGATGAAAGGAATAAATGAGATACCTCAGTTGTACGTGGTGTGCTTTATAAAGCACCTCCATAGGCTGCAGCAGAGGAGCAGTAATAAGAGCCATTTCCTCATATACTAATTAATGTCCCACTGCTACTTGGGATTACTGTTGCTTACTGCTTGGAAGGTAATGTGATGCTGAAAAACATGAAATAAAACTAACAATTGAAAAATATGACTAAGAGCCAAAAGCTTTAAGAGGGGGGTTGTTGGGAATACTGTTAGTTCTATGTTTTGCCCTTACAATGTATAAATCACTTAAAACCACTAGGCATAGTACTTTTAAAAAAAGAAAAAGCAACAGGCCCCGTTCACATGCTTTCAGTGTAAATGGCATGTTATATAGACTACTGCCAAACCCATTTACCTCTTACCCACACACTTCCACATAAACGTTTGGTGAAAGAATTATGTGATGTCATAACGGGAAGCTTTCCCTACCCTTTGCAAATAGCAGTCAGTGTGTTTCTTTTACCAGCTATGACCAAGGAGCTGTGCAGCCAAGTGCTTCCCATAACATTGCGTTAGGCCCTGAGAAAAGAGGTCACCACAAAGGCTCTGCCCATGTGCACAAATTCCATGTTGTGGGATTTCCATTCCTTTAAGTAGTTCAGTCGGCTCACGCTGAGATACATGCTTTCTTCAAACTGGTACAATTCTACTGATACTGAAGCAGCCCGAGTTTCCTTAATGTCTTCATTTTCCAATGTTACTGTCTTTCAGCAAAAACAACATTCTTTAAGGTATCATCACCATCTTCAATTATCTGAAAGGCTGTCACGTGGAGGATGGAACAAGCTTGTTTTCTCCTGTTCCAGAAGCTAGAACCAGAACTTATGAATCCAAGTTACAAGAAAGGAGATTCTGACTAAACATCAGGAAGAACTTTCTGGCAGTAAGAGCTGTTCAACAGTGGAATGGACTCCCTCAGAAGGTGGTGGGCTCTCCTTCCTTGGAGGTTTTTAATCAGAGGTTGGATGGCCATCTGTTATGTATGGACTAGTTGAGATTCCTGCATTGGGGGGTTGGACTAGATGACCCTAGGGGTTCCTTCCAACTCTACAATTCTATGGTTCTATGATTCTGTGATTCTAAGGTGCCACAAATAGTCTTTGCTGTTTTTGCTAATGTCAATTATGTCAGTGTAGAATTGATTATACACTTTTAAATTCATAAAATTGTTGTTAGCATTATCAAACCAAACCAAATAATAATCTGCTTTATTAGTTTTCCATGATTTATTATCCATGTTACTCTATATACATTCCCAGATGTCTGAAAATAACAATATTTTTTCTTTACAAGCACACAGCTTAGATATCCATTTCAGTCTTGGCAGGCTTGGAAAAAATTATGCCAAATACCCTTTCTATCTAAGAGTAATGTTACAAGCTTAATGAAGACAGAACTTTGTGGAATTGTGGACCATGCTCCTGTAATCTTGATCTAGAATTATTTTTTTGAGACAAAATCTAACTCTTAGAACTAGATCATGCTGCAGAATGAAAACTTTAAATAATGAGTATCTGGTGTCTAAACTGATCACATTTTGCTGTAAAACTTTGATTCAGCTGAGGATTTTACTATAATATGGAGCAGCTTTAAAGCAGTAAAGTCATATCTGCTGCTTCATTCAAACATAAAAAGCAAAACAAAGCTATGAAATCCTCAATGAGGTGGAAGAAAGGCACAAAACAGACTATTCGGGGAGTTACTCATGCAGTTACCTGTGGTAAAGAAGATGGTGGACTTCTTGGACACATCTAAAGTAGAAATATCAAAAGCCTACCTCTACACTAGTTATAACTAGTACCAGAAGCATGCAAGTGACAACAGGGAAAAATAGATGACAATATAAAACCCTGGAGTTTGCCAACAGATTGAGGAAATGAATCAAAGAAATGCTCCCCAATAGAAACATGATGGGAATGGCTGGAGTGGTAAGATGATAACCATGCAGAACAGCACCCTAAAAGCTAAGTTTACAAAATGATGACAAAAGAACAGCATGATTAACAGCAGGAGAAAGATCCAACAGCAAGAGAAATGAAAACAAGTGACACTGTTCAGATAGGGGAGAAGTCAGTAATATATGTTAAACAAGTTTCCAGTAGAATTAACAGGCTAAAAACTAGATTAACCAGAGGAAAGAAATTGTAAACCTTGTGCAAGCACAAGCCACTCCAAAATTTTAGGAACAAGAAGCAGTAGGGGCCCTGCTAGAAAGAGAAGAGGGTCCCCCCTCCCACACCAATAGGAGTATAAAGTTATTCTTATAGGCAAAGTTTACTTGATTTGACCCTACTAGCACAATGCACTTGAATGCTGTGAGAAAGTAAAGTAAGAGGCCCCCAAAGAACAAAAAAACGGAAGCTATTTTTGCTGCATTGGCTTTTACCGTGCTGCAAAGGCAGTGGCGATGTCTGACAGGGCCAGTTCAGGGAAGGTAAACCTTCAGACCCCTAGGTGACATGACACTTTGCACAGATGCTCATGAAAAGTGAACTAACAGGCTGTTCCTCTAGAAATGATCCAAGGAAGAATTCATACACACTCCAATTTGCTCTGTATCCTGTGCTCCCACCACTTTTTAAGAAAGTGGTGTACACATGGTGTTAGCCACAATCCATAACTTTTTATCCATCCTGTTGTTTCTTAGGAAATACTCTTTTTTAATGTATCCTACCCCCTGCTAGCTTTAATCCGAATTGAGAAAAATAATGGCCTAGTTGCATTTTCAGCCTGTAATGTGTACACAGTCTAAGTCACTCTTTAAAAGTGTTCATCTGTGTCCATGCAATTTCCCATGAGAATATGTTTGAGAGAAGGAAAGATGCCTCTGAGTGACTCATGAAATACACTTTGCCCCCTGTTCATAATTTCAGAAGCAGAGTCTGTAATAAATAGAAAACCTGCTAGGGACACATATTGTCTGTATTTGTGTGAAGGCAGAATTACAGGTATGAACAAACTTCTGTTAGAAATATCCTCCTTTTCTGTCATTAAGGTCATCAAAACAGCTAATAAATATAGATACAGCAAGATAATACACTTACATTGTAAATAAAAATGTAATCCAACCCAACCAACAAAAACAGTGAAGCAGAAAACAGCATCATGTTATATGCCACCTAAAAGCAAAACTAGTTTTCAGTTCCAAGAGAATGAAATTTTCAAAAGCCTTTTGGAAGACAGTGGTGTTTCCCAAATGCTAGTGATGTGGATGTATGAAAAAAGTCTAATAGTTAGCTTCTTATGTAACCCACCACTGTATATTGTTCGGTGGTAGAGTTGAAGCAGCGAGTGGCCTCCTTTATGGGCAACTAGCTTATTACCTCAGAACAGTTTGGACAATACATGTTGTCTCCTTTCTGCAGTAAGATTTCCCTAAAGTTTTAAAATGAGTTATGAATTTCCACAGCAGTACGATTTACTTGCTTGTTGAAGTTTTATTATTATTATTATTATTATTATTATTATTATTAATACCCTACCCATCTGGCTGGGTTTCCCTAGGACTGTAACCTTAATTGCTGTGTCACAGCCCATTTGAGCCCTCTAGGTTACTGTAATACTTTATATGTAGGATTGCCTCTGAAAATGGTTTGGAAACTTCAGCTGGTACAGAATTTGGCAGCCAGGTTGCTCACAGGGACAAATGGCTCAGGACTGCAATACCTGCTCAAGGACTGCCTCTCCCTATATGAACCAACCTGGTTCCTGAGACCATCATCTGATGCCCTTCTTCATGTGCCTGCTCCTCAAGAAGTCTAGAGGGTGGCAACACCAGATGTTTAAGAGTTTTATGTTATTTACCTCTGTATAAGTCCTTTCCTGTGAGTCCCTTAATTTTTGGTAAACAAAATAAATGAATAAATGAATGAATAATATAAAGGATAATTTCACTTATATATTGACTATTTAGATAGAGGTGAGAAATACTACAGTTTTACCTGAAGGGGGAACTGCTACCATGCAAATGATTTATTGGTTTTCATTTTCCAGTGTGCAGTCACACATAAGCACCAAACTACATGAAATGGGAGTGGGGGGCTTGATGAGATCTCAGGTGTTTTTATTCAAAAGCCGTTATGGGGGACACCAAATTTGATCAGAGTACTGGTGGTAGGAGAGTTGGTTGTTGCTGTTTTCCAGTTTGGGTATGTCCTCTTCTCCTTGTGCCACCCCCTCAAGAAATATTGCTATATCACAGGGGAGACGGGTTAAGCAATACTTCCTTCCCCAGAACCATTGTTCCCATCAAATTCAGAAGCCCTCAACATAGCTATATTCAAGTTAAAATCAAAACATTGACAGTTCTGATCACAGATCTGCTGTACAGTTTCTTATCTGGACAATAAAGACAACTCGACAATTTGTTTTAGTGAAAAGAGAGCATTGTCTATTGTTTGAGACCTTGAGCATAGTATAGATTCTGGGGTACTAAGCAGCTTGGAAGCTACATTTCTTGTTCGGAGCACCAAGTCCAGGTGTTTCCTAGACTACCCTGGAGAAACTGAAAAGTCCAGCAGCTCCTCTCAGTGCCTCTGGAAGGCATTCCAATGGTTTAGATTATCTGCAAAATTTTAATTCATGTTTTTGAAATGCCAGTTCAAACAATGCATAGGTAACTTTAATAGTATCAGAGAAAGGGGCAATTCCCACCAAGCAGGTCCTGCCTCCTACCAGAATATGCTGCAGCTGTTTAATCAGCCCCTTGATGTTTCATGGCTGAGTAGTGGTCTTCACCCTGAATTCCCAAGTCCTGGTCCACTTATCCCTGCACTTTATTCCACTTTCGGGGGGGCGGGAGATGTAGAGATGAATAATGTGGGGGTATGGGGGATAGTCTTTTCTCACCAGTCTGGAAATGTATGGCTTTCTTTGTTAACAGTACTGTGTTGCAGCTTTAAGACTAATTCAGACTGCAATCCTGTACATACCAGGGAGCAGTCCCGGTGGAATTCAGTGATGCTTACTTTTGCATAATGTACAATTGTTGTAGGATGAATCCACCCTGCTGGGCCCTCACTATCCATGCACAGGGGAGGAAGTGGGAAGAGGGGAATCTACATGTTCTGGGCTTCTAAATCGCATGGGGAGTCCACACCTATAAATCAGCTCCATGTCTCCCAGATTCTCCCAGCAGGAGACTGGGGTAGCAGGGGGTGCAGGAAAAGCACTGAAGCCTAATTTGATTAATAGAATACCTGGCCTCTCGTTGGCAGGTCTTTTATGCCGCCCTCTAGAATCGGGCCCTCCCTTCAGGTCGTCAGACTAACTGTCCCTTGTCTCAAGATGTGTCGTTTCTCTCCATCAGTATGTTACTATGTTGCATTTTTCTACTATTAAAGCTTTGTTTCATGTATGTACATGAGCTGTTTACTCCACTGGATGAAAAGGCACTCTGCTAAAGAAGGAGAAGGTGGAATATACTGCACTGGGTGAGTAAGGAGACATTCCCCTGACAGGAGGACTGATTTTGAGTCACTCCCCTCCACAACAGGGGTAGGGGCAGCAATGGGGGGAGAAGCAGGGATGGTCCCATTTCACGCGCTCACATGCGTGTTAATCACATGAGAAGCAATGAGTGAATTGTGCTAGATTCTGCCCTGTTTTTGTTACCAATTCAACCTTAGCAGCATCACCCGGCTGCGACTGGAGTGAGTGCTCTGATGGGGCAAAGAAAGTCAAGCTTTTCAAACTCCTAATGAAAGCAATAAGAATACAGTGGTACCTCAGGTTACATACGCTTCAGGTTACAGACTCTGCTAACCCAGAAATATTACCTCGGGTTAAGAACTTTGCTTCAGGATGAGAACAGAAATTGTGCGGTGGGGGTGCGGCAGCAGCAGGAGGTCCCATTAGCTAAAGTGGTACCTCAGGTTAAGAACGGTTTCAGGTTAAGAACGGACCTCCGGAATGAATTAAGTACTTAGCCCGAGGTACCACTGTATAAGAAGATTACTGACCAGGCCAGGCCAGCAACAGAATTGTAGAGTTGGAAGGCAGGAGCAGAGGAAGGGGGTGCGGTGGGTGCAGGCCGCCCCAGGTGCCACCACTGAGGGGGGTGACAAAATGCCAGGCGGCACTCACCACAGGGTCTGCAGTGTGCCTGAGCCACGCGTCTCTCCAGACGCTGCCC